AGACATCACTGTCATACATCAGTTCTTATTTCAAATCAGTCTGTTAGTTTTCTCTCATGAAGAACTCCAAGCGGCATGTCTTTGCTCTATTATTACGTGAAGTGTAACTATCTGGTTTATTCAAGATCTGTTTGGCAGAAATCCTGCATGTTCTTCTCTTAGCTGTTTATCAGTGGAATTTTTTAGTCTTTACAAAATAATCCTACTAAATATCTTCCCAGAAGCTGACAGCAACATAATTCTCTCTCTCTCCCCCCCCCCCCCCCCTTTTTACACTCCTGTAGGTCACCTGTTTTGAGCAGTTTCACAAGATATTTTCTTCAATCTGCCTGTATTTCTTCTGTCTTCCAGACTTTACTGAATAATTCAGAAAACAATTCCTTAGATGTATATACTGGTACCATCGGAATTGGCACTCTTTGTTTGCTCCCGAAGATGGGGACAGAGCGCTTATGGGAGTGTTCCGAGTGCTGTGAAGTCGATTCTTAATTCAACATTCAACATATATACTGACTTAATAACTTCTGCTAGGATACCATCTGGACCTGCAGCCTTTTTTTTTTTTTTTTTAAATAACAGCATTACGTCTTTTAATACGGCTCAGATATTTAACTTCCTTTATTTCTGTCAGCAACTTTCTTTTCATTTCTTGACTTTTTAGAACCTCTGTACTTTTTTTTCTCTTTATGAAATACAAACTATCCTTCTGTATATCAATATCTGGAAAGTCAGTACAATCTGATTGCTTCAGACTATATCAACCGAGGCTAGTCCTTTGCAGAACATCGTCTGCAGCAACAACAACAGAAAAACAGACACTACAGAAATACAGTATGACATTAACACAAACCACACCTCTAGCAAAAGACAGGAAACTACATTCATCTCCTCTCTGGCACACTTTGCAGCATAAGTAGTAGGACAAAAGAAGAAGAAGAAGAAGAAGAAGAAGCAGACATCCTCTATTAAACAACCTGTTGTAAAGACAATCTCCAACAATCCTTTAGCTCGTTTATTGTCATGTCTGTTGTGTCTCAAATATTCTTTCTGTACCATAAATGTCCAGCCGATGCTGGGAAAATTGAAAATTTCAAACTTATAAGGGCACAAAATCTATAGGGGCCAAACATACACCGTGAAGGAAATACATGTGTTGTTGGAGTTAATTAGTATGCCATTGCCAGGGGTACTGACACAAAGAAAACAATTAGGAAAAGATGAAGGTGAAAAAAAAATGGGAAAAGGGGGGATGGGGGGTCTTCTGTCCCTTTACAGATGTTGGTGCCCCCAACAAGCATGCAATCATAAAAAGGAAAGTATAGGACCTTTGTCCATGACTTTCAGGCGCATTGGGTATATAGGGCTAGACCTATATTTTATAGACCAAATGGCTTTTGGGGTGTCATGTGGTCAGCACCACGCCTGCTGCCTTTACTTCCCAGGACTGCACCTGGTACCCACTCAAGGCTGTGTTGGCCTGGGAGCCAAGGTCATTTTTGATAAAAGTCTGGCCCCCATCAGGATCTGAACCCATGACCTTCCTATCCGCAGGCGAGCGTCTAGCCGCTAGACCACGGCGGCTCCCCATGTCATGAAAATAACTAATAATAAAGAGCTTACTGAAAGCAGATGTGTTGGGAAAAAAAAGGTGCAAATATTGTAGCCTAGCTGTAAACCACAACACAAGGTGTCAACGTTTTACTGAGTGAGTTAATAGAAAAGCTACAGAATAATGACTGTCCAAATTCTTTAGTATTACAATACTGACATAGCTTACATGTTTTGAGTTCTGCCACTCAGTTGGATGTTTCATTGTGGTGGGATAGTCAAATGCAGTGTCACAGCACCTGTCATCAGCTATGTTTTCTATTCTCCAGATGATCTCAATCAGAACCTGAGCTGTCAGACAGAACAGGCAGTTCCTGAACCAGACACTGATAGAATGTCTGACATTCTGAATCCCAGTAATGACACAGAGAAAACCATCATTAATGTTACTAGTGCAAGTAAGTGTGCAAAAATTCTTACCCACACACACACCCACACAAAAGAGCTTATGCATGCACTCATGCATGCACACGCGCACGCACGCACGCGAGCGAGCGCACACACAAATATGGGGTGATGCATGTGTGTTAGATTGGTATACATATACATTCACACACACACATTCACACACATACACACATACAAACACTATAATTGTTTCATTAAGGTGAGGTTGCTTGCCATAAGTTTAATGTTGAATTAACATCATAGCACTCGGGACATTCAAATAAGCGCTCCGTCCCCATCTTCAGCAGCAAACAAAGAGTTCTAATCCTGATGGCACCAGTAACTGCCTGATTGTATATCTGTCTTACCTTTCCATTGAGTGTTAAGCATTTGCAAGACCCCCTGGCAACTCCTCGCAGCGCCATTCTCCTCAGACCATAATGATTTATTTGCACTTCCGCACTGTTCACTTTCTCCCAGAGGGCCCTCACAGCATCTAGCTTGTCATACATCAGTTCAGGGCCAAGTGGTGCAGAACCGGCCAGTTTATCTGCCTGCTCATTTCCCAACACACCGGCATGCCCTGGAGAGAATATCCAAAGGATGCTAACTACCCCGGACGTCTGAAGTGATGCTTGCCACTCAGGATGGAGCATAACTGTCTCCACCTTTCTTAACATGCTCTGTGAGTCAGTTACAATCATGGCATGTGTGTACAGCTGATTTTCAAGCCAGTGGAATGCAGCAGTGACTGCTTCCATCTCCATTCTCAAACTAGATGCTGTGATATCAGATGCAAAGCTTTGCTGCACTAAGCGACGTCCATTTGCCTTTGCTATGAACCCCCATCTATTTCATCTGCGCCTCAACACAACACCATCTGTATATTCACATCACTTGGATGGGATTTGTCATGAATGTTTGTTGAACTTCTGATTCTGTACCACCGGCTGGCCAGTCCCTGCACTCATGACCCAAAGTGATATGAACCCTTCACAAGTTTGAAACTTGCTCGGACACCTAGCCGTAAGTCAGGCTAGAGAATGGTTTTATCTACACTATCTACTGAAAAAGATGGAGCACTTATGAATATTTCTGTCACTTCTGTTAACCATTTTATTATATTATATTTTTATATTTATATTAATTATATAAATAAATAAATATATATAAATTATATATATATATTATATAAATAAATATATATTATATAAATAAATAAATATATATTATATAAATAAATAAATATATTTATATTAATTATATTTTTTCTTCCACATTCACATTGACTTGATCTGTTGAAAAAACACTAACAAGTTTATGTATTAAATTATAGACTTTAAAATAATTTTTTTCCAGTATGTTTAATTCCTCACTGACCTCACCCTGTGGGTTCCTCGGCTCAAAAGAAAAAACCCACTGCCCCAAAACTCGCTGCCACAATAACAAACATGCTCTTGTGGTGACTATTTCAGAGTTTGCTGACATCGGATAAGTTTGAGCCAAAAGGTGCAGTTATTGCAGCCTAGCTGTAAACTACAATAAAACATGCCAACCATCCTTTAAAGGTTGGACAAAGAAAAAGAACACTTGGTTAAGAAAAAAAAAAAATCATCAACTCATTCAGTAAGAAGCGACGCACCATGCGTTTACTGGGGTCCTCTTACAGGATATACTATTTTTAATCCCTCCTGTGTCCCATCCAGAGGTCACAACAATTATTTCTATCCCTGTTGTTTAAATCACTGGTCTGCTGCCTAATTGCCTACAGCTATAGTGCCTTTCACAAGTCATGCTCTCACACTTAACCACATATCTAAATAAAAAATTTAAAAAAATTGCCCTGCTCGCTAGCGTAGTTGGTTAAAGCTGACTTCGCAACGGCCTGGTGATGAACTCCCTGTCCCTGTGGTCCGTGTTCACTCCCAGGGGTAGGCAGAAAAGCGACATTTCTCCCAGATTTACTGTACCTGTAATGAAATCAAGGCCGAAGGGTTGCAATATCCATAACACCGAGCCAAAGGGTTAACAACTCATGGCTTCTGGATAGTGGGGAAAAAAAAATCTAAATAAAAAAAAACTCCTGTATAGATCGAATCAGATTTTTGCATGTGGGCTTACATTTTTCCATGTCCTTATCATTTTATAATTTAAAATGTGCAGAAACTGCTGTTTCTTAAAGTGATCAATTTATGTGATCTTTGACTAATAATTTATATACCCCTAAAAACTAATTAAAGACTATATGGTAATTGACGCATGCAGGGAACAAGTTTGGAAGTCATTTCACATGTGAGGTGATGATGGCTTATGCTGGAGATGACCACAGGAGAGTTAAACGCCTATGGAACATGTGCAATTTGATGTTTTGAAAAGTACCCATTACTCATTTAACTGTAAGCCTGCTGATTGTGTGCTCTGAATAGGTGTCTGCGTGTTTTAAAATTGGTATACAGCAAATAAGGTAAAATGAAACTAGATGTTTGCTTACATTAAAAACATTTCTTACAAGGATATGATGATTAATGGATTGCTTGCCAAAATTCAACAACTTGCACTGAATGGTCACTGAGTTACAGATTTTTTAAGTTGTGGAGAAAATTCTGTCCATAACCCTTTAGTCACGGACACCAAACACCCCTTTTTCTCGACTATGCAACTTACAACCATCTACACTGACCACACAAAAAAAAATGAATAAATCAAAATGATAAATAAAGATATCTACATTGCTTTGACTCTATCGCATATGAAAGACTGTCTGGAACCACAGTATAAATTAAAATGGTGCTGAAAACTGGAACCACAGAATAAATGAAAATAGTGTTGAAAACTAGAACCACAGTATAAATGAAAATGGTGTTGAAAAATATAAATGTAGCTTATGACCAGTTTGACTTACTACCTGTTAGTCAGATCAGAACTCAGTGGTAAGTTGAGAAGACCAGGTAACGGAATGTACATTGGATTATTTTACCATGTCTGGGCTTGTTTCCTACTTTCAGGAGCTGCAGGAGTCCCTGCTGGCAAACCTTTTGTCAGTGCTAAAGACAGTCACAGTGTGTCCTTGTCTTGGCCAGGCTGTACCTCCAAACATGAGAGTGAGGTGGTATATTACATCATTGAAGGCAAGGAGGTGAAGGAGAAAGCATGGGACATTCTTATTGCACAGTGTAAGGTAGGTCAACATGGTGGTCCTTCAGTGAAAATGATCTATATTTAGTCACATGCAGATACTTGTCTGTGGATCAGAAGGTTGTGATAGAGCCCAGGAAAAAAAAAAGTACTTGACTCACAGATCGACCTAGCCTTAAATATGTACGACATCTCTGGTTTAAGTCAAAGCTTGTCTGCCTACTGTCCACGCTTGACAGGTATATAATAACACACATTTTGTGTGGTACTTTAAGACTGTTGGACACATCCATGATCAAAAATGCACAAAGAATTCAAGTCCTAGGTTTCTGCTAGTGTGGTCATACTGACAGCAGTTTTTGGACCTTAACAGGCTTTTGTTGGTGGAATTCAAACATTTCACTCTGGCAACCCTTGAGAGAAAATAGGTAATAGTGCCAGAAATTCTTCCCTCAAAAATATGTAAAATAAATACAACCATTTAAACAGGTCACTAAAACAGTTTTAACAAACTTGTCACTTTAAATTTATTATGTGTGTCTGTGTGTGAGTGTGGTGTGTGTGTGTGTGTGTGTGTGGTGTGTGTGTGTGTGTGTGTGGTGTGTGTGTGTGTGTGTGTGTGTGTGTGTGTGTGTGTGTGGTGTGTGTGTGCGTGCGTGCGTGCGTGCGTGCGTGCGTGCGTGCGTTGCGTGCGTGCGTGCGTGCGTGCGTGCTGCGTGCGTGCGTGCGTATAGTGCGTGCGTGTGTGCGTGCGGCGTGCGTGAAATAAATAAAGGGAAGTAATCAATAAATATGAATAAAGTGGAGGATAAATGGATCTTGCTCCCACTCGCCCAAAACTAAAACTCTACCACTGCTGAGGCTATACCGGTTAAGGCGGGGATTGGGAATGCACTAAAATTCAGAGTTAGCAGCATTCTGGGGAGCAGAGGCAGCTCATTCAGCACCAAAGCAAGTCACCAGTTGTTTTCAACCGACATGATATGTTTTGATCACCTTGTGAAGCATCAGGTTATTTCAGTGAGCCACCCTGCTCGGACTGAGGAGCCACCATGGTCTAGCGGCTAGACACTCACCTGACGATTGGAGGGTCGTGGGTTCAGGTCCTGTTGATGCCAGACTAAAATTGACCTTGGCTCCCAGGTCGAACCAGCCTTAAATGGTCACCAGGTGGAGTCCTGGTGGTTGGTGTGATGCTTACTACCTCACCCACTGAGTGCGGATTGGTGTATAAACTATAGGTCTAGTCCTACATGCTCAATACACTTGAAGGTGTGAGAAGATTCCTTTACCTTTAATTTACTTCACTTTGCTTTGCTTTTACTGGGTAACTGAGTGGTCCCAAAGCATGGCATCCACCTCGAGAACTGGAGGTCCCAGGTTCAGACCCCGGTAAAGGCTTAGGAATTTTTTCACGTGGACTTCTAGTATTCCCGCCGGTCTCTGGGTAGTAAGGCAGTGTATTGCTGCGCACGTTAAAAAAATCCCTATGCAGTTGGAAATTGAAAAGAGTAGACTAATGGCCCTGCTGGACAAAATTTGGAGTTAAAAATTTACCCAAAGTATTTCAGGATATTCACCAGTGCTATGGAGTTCGTGCACTGTGCTGAAGTTCTTTGGACTCAGGTTTGAAATTAGAAGTAGAACTGAGCACTTATGGGTTACTATCCTTGTACCATGATGTTGATTCATTGTATAAACCAAACCTTTACTTTTTCTTTAATTGACCTTACTGTACTTTTAGTTTTACTTTACTTTTGCCTACTTTACTTTAACTTTTACTTTATTTTTATTTTGCTTCACTTTTACTTTACCTTTTAGTTTTACTTTACTTTTACCTTCTTTACTTTAACTTTAACTTTATTTTTATCTTGCTTCACTTTTACTTTACCTTTACTTTTACTTTACTTTAACTTTACTTTCACTTTACTTTTACTTCGCTTTACTTTTACTTTTCTTTTACTTTTCATTTACTTTTACTTCACTTTATTTTACTTTTTTTACTTCACTTTATTTTACTTTTACTTCACTTTATTTTACTTTTACTTTACTTTTACTTTACTTAGATCCAGTTGCTATATTAACACTTCCTATATTAACACCTTCTATAAAATAGTAGTTTTTTTATCTCTTCAGACCGTTAAACAGTTTTTACTTTAAGTCACAACCTCTAAGACAACAAAATGAGTTAACTCTTTCAGTACCAGAAATACTGAAAGCTTTACTTTTAAAGTGGCAATATCCACAGTTGTAGAAACCACTGGGGAAGTGCGTGCGTGCGTGCGCACGCATGTGTGTCTGTGCGTGCATGCGTGTGTGCATACAGTATGTTTATTGAAAGAAGATATGATTTGAGAATGGGAGATATTCAGTATAAAATCTTTACCTAATCCATATATTATATCCAGCATATGTATTTATTATTTACATACTAATTTATGATTGTACACTTTCAGTGTATTTACTGCCATTTCTTTGTCGCCACATTTAATTTTAACTTTTGTTCTGTTTATCTTACCAGCTCTTTCCATGCACTGTTGAAGGTTTAAAACCAGGGACATCCTACCAATTTCGAGTTCTGGTTGCCAACAAACATGGAGTCAGCCCACCCTCAGAACCTTCAGAGACAGTGACGACCTTTGACTCCCCAACCATGACTGATGATTTTGAATATGAAGGTAATGAGAAACAACTTCTTTATTCACTAATTTGATAAGGTGTACTTTTATTAATTTTTTCCCTGTGTGAGTTCCAGGGCACCAGCTCTGGTGGGAAAAAAATTATATAATAGAGCCACTTGGCATGTAATATAAGATCTGTCTGTTGCCTATCATTCACCTACCTATATGCAGGAACATCATCTGTAAATATCAATTTCCTTCCAACACTTGGTGCTTCAAGTTCTGCAGTCTTGCTTGTATAAACATTGAAGAGCACTGTGGAACTGCAGAAACCTGGGGTTAGTCCTTGGATGATACTGCAAGGTTCTGAGGTTCATATACCCATGCTGAGGGCAACCATATGTGAATGCAAGGCAGCTGTTACCCAGTTCACCAGAGATAGACTCCCTTTCCCATAAGCACAGATATCAAAATATGGCTGTGTTAGGATCAGGTGCTGCCACTACTGTCTCCTGTCTCATTTTAAACTTTCATAAAAAACAGAAACAAAAGTGGCTGCATATCATTATCCTGTAATACTACGTGTCATTGGGTCGCTAGTTTCTCTCCACCTTTGGCGGTAAGTTGTGATGCACTTCATGGTTGCATGCCTGAGGCCTGTCCAGTCAGTCAGTTTGTGTCACCAGGTCTTTCTTGGTCTGCCTTTTCTCCACTTTCCCTCTACTGAGCCCTGCAGTTTTGTTTTTGGGAGGCTGTTAGATCTTATTACATGTCCATTCCATTCCATTTTTTTTTGCCTTTTCACTGTAGTTAAAAGAGGTTCATAGTTGCTTATGTGCTGTAAAATTGTATGGCCTCTTTGTTTGCATATGGCTGCATATGATAACATTTAATCTAAAAAAAATACATAACGGCATTTAAATATTATGTAAACAAATGCAGCAACAGTAAATAACAGAATAATATACAGAATATGATACTTATCTGGTCTGTTTTAAATTTTTACAAAGGCTCTCTAGTTATGGTAAGCTACATATACTGAATTGTATACACATCATTAAAAGATATCTTGCATTTTATATACCTTTCTTTCCATTCACAGGTGAACTTCCTTTCAAGCCTCGGGAAGTACAGATCAACACTACTGATCACTTTGAAGATCTGTATGAAAAGGATAAAGAAGTCGGCAAGTGAGTGCTCTATATTTTTTTGTGTGTGGAGAGTTAGTGTTTTCCTTTTGCCTGTTTGTCTGCTGCTTGTTTATCTGCTGTCTTCTTATTTCCTTATGTATTATCACTGAATCATCATAACAGCTTATTAATGTTAAATGTAACAATATTTAACAACAAAAAGGTCTTTTTTCCATTTTTTTTAAATGTAGTTATTTTGTATATCCTCTGCAAAACTGCCAATTACTGCCTGTCTTCACCACTTTTGCAGTGTAGGCAGGGGTGTTTTGGAGCCTGATGATTTAGGATCTCATGGATAGTATCGCTACAGACAGAAATCAATCTGTGACTTTCTTCTTCTGTCTTTCTATCCCCCAATGGAGCATAGGCCCTCAACCAACTCACGCCAAGTCGTTCTATCCTTTGCCATTGCATGGAGCTCTCCCCATGTCCTCCCCATCATTCTAACTTCATTCTCCAGCTCTCTTCTCCATGTGTTTTATGGCCTTCCTTTATTCCTATACCCCTGTACTCCAATGCAAAGACATTCTAGTTATGCTGTTCTCCTGTTTTCTCCGTGAATCCATGACCTTATTGAGGATTTAAACCTAGCTCTTCCTCATGAGAGCATAGTGTTCTTAACCCCTCGACCACCTACTCCTCATATATCCTCACTGTCGCTAATTATTTTTGTTCTATACAGCTTTCGTGGTAGCTCTTGTCTTGTTAATAACTCTCATCTCAACTGATGGGCAAACCATAATCTTCAAGGGGGTTATGAGGTCCCATTTTTAGAGGAAAGAATAGATCCACTGCCTTCTAACAAGCATATTATAAAAGGCAACCAATGAAGGGTTTTGCTGAAATTGGATCTGTTGAATGAGAGTTGCAGAGTATGCAGTCCAGCTGTAAACCAAAACACAATAGCACCAACCATCCTTTTAAGGGTGAACCCTAAAGAAAAAGAAAGTAAACTTTATAAAATGCTATTTATTTTTACTTCAAATTTGAAAACCTTTCTGTATTTTGTGTGTTCATTTTAATTCAGCTGTTAACTCCTCTCAAACTGCAACCATCACATGGGCTAAATGTTCTATTTCTATCTTCTTCTTCTTCTTCTTCTTCTTCTTCTTCTTCTTCTTCTTCTTCTTCTTCTTCTTCTTCTTCTTCTTCTTCACTTCCTCTTTTACCGCTGTGAGTGTCGAGGGAGATATAAGGTTCTGTTTCTAGCTCTTCTGGCCGCCTCGACCATAGGCACATTGTGCTGTTGTAGAGTTTCTCTGATGTTATCCTTCCATGTTGTTCTTGGTCTACCTCATGCTCTACGTCCTTCTTCTCTTTCCATGTATGCAATTGTATGGTATGGTGTCACAAGGCATTATCTCTAAGTGGGCAAACCATTTCACTTGCTGTCTTCGTATGTAATCCAGAATTGGTTCTGTGCCGACTTTTTCTCTAATGATCTCATTCCTGATCTTATCTCTTATGGTCACTCCTACAGCCCTTCTCAGACATCTCATTTCCATGGTTACTAATTTTCTTTTATGGTTTGTTGTGAATGACCATGTCTGGCACTGGTAGCACAGAGTTGGAATAAATATGCTTTGAATAAGATGTCTCTTTGTGCTGATTAGGATTGTTTTATGATGTAAGAGGGGAGCTAGCTGTCCCAATACTTGGTTAATATACAATATAATGGTTAAGTAATGTTTGAATGTTTGAAGTAAGTGTCTTTTTCAGGGCAAATGAAATCGATCTAAATAGGTGTTTTGTTTTCAGTTTGTTTCTCCTAGCCTTTGATAGACTCCACTCTACTTTGTGGCAGATGTAGTGCCTCACTAAGTCTAATCAGAAGCTCAGACAGACTTGTTCAGTCTAAGACCGTCCCAATATCTGTACTGCCATTACTGAAATAGTCTTTAATTTGATAGTGAGATAAATTGTTCTCCATTCCAAACTGTAAATTCTATGCCTTCAAAAGCCAGCCAGTTAATTAATATAAAGCTAAATAATCAAAGAGTGACTTTGATCTCAAATATCTGTGCATAACAAAGATGCATATTTTTACTTTTTTTTCTACTTTTTTTTTGTCATTGCAAGGGATTTTTAAATGAGGTCACAAACTATAAAGGCTGTGTTAGGACTTATGTCTCCCATTGAATCATACAACTTGATTTCCACCAAAAAGCTAACTTGCCAAACCTGGTTATCTCCCTACTGCAAATAGAGAGCAAGTTTAAAATGTTCAAACCCCAGTGTGGGTTTCGGGGCCCCATTGTGGGGGAAAACAAGAATGGACCCACTGCCTCCCCAAAAGCATGTCGTAAGAGTCGACTAATTGGGGAGCTTCCTTGAAGTCGGAGTGCATCTACCAGAGAGGCAAGGAACCAACAGTCTGTATTCAAGAGAATGAGACCTGTAAAACTGATGCACATGCAACACTCAGGTTCTGGAGCAGGACTGCAGTTCAGTAGTGGACGAGCAACCAGACATTTCTGCCAGAGTGTACAGCTTGTGAATGCGAAGAAGAAGAAGAAGAAGAAGAAAAATGTTTAAATTATAACCAAATTAATTAAAAATGACTGTAAATTCACATCACAATTGTTATCGACCATTACAGGGGCAAGTTTGGTGTGGTCTATAAATGCAAACAGAAGTCAGATGGTTCAGTTTGGGCTGCTAAGGTTGTGAGATGCCGAGAAAATGAGAAAGTAAACCTCAGACGTGAGATTGCTATCATGAATAAACTTCACCATCCTAAGCTTCTGCTCTTGTGGGATGCCTTTGAATCTCCACGGCAAATGGTCCTGGTCATGGAATAGTAAGTGTCTTGTTAACTCATTTGGAAGAACTGTGTGGAAGCAGCAGAGATATGGTTTTATAGAAGACAGTGCTTGTAATAAGTGGTGTGTTTATATTCTCGTTGTCCAGGTAGTGTTCATGCGTGTGTCATGAATGTTCTTCTCACACACTCTGCATTACACAACTGGTACAAGCCGACACCAAGTTAGTCGTACGAGCATCGATTTATTGTCATGTTATAACTTACAGCAATGTCCCATCGTAGTCCTAATACACAGCTCTCGCACACGAATTCACGCAGCCTTCGACAATCAGGTTCTTCTTGCATTCACTGACCAAAGTCGGCTCCCATGAATTCAGTTGAGGTTCTGGCCATTACACAGACTGGCATGGTCGATCTTGGCTTCACACTTCATCGTCAGGGTCTCCTTTCTCAACAAGCACTCTTACGTTAACATTCTTTCACTCAGTCGCCCATCCTCTCGCTCAAACAGGTCGACACAAACTGAACTTGATCAGAATCAAGTCTGACTTATACCACGGGTTCGTTTCACGTGGCAACACGTGATGGTCCTTTACTTTCACGTGGCGACCTTAGGTCGACTTATCGTGATACCCGTGATAACTAGTGGTCATCACCTATCTCAAGATTCTCGTTTAATCCGAGAATCTGGAACATCTCTGTGTTTTTTGTTAGCTTTGGGCTTTCCCCCCAACCTTGCTAATCTGGGTGAAAATATCCCCCATTACAGTGCTTTATTAATATCCTACCCCAAACAGGGAAAATCCACAAGTCAGGAGACAGCCAAACATTTCAAGAGGTGGTAAGTAGGCTGTATACAGTCGTGGGACCTAGGCTGCACTGTCTCATGAGTGGTAGGTGGGTTGGGGCTAGAGCCAGTTCTTAATGTTTTGGGGTCATTAAAAGCACCAGAAAGCTGGGAAACACAGTTTTACTACCCTCTAAAATGTTGGAACCGTTCTGTGACGTCATCTGGGGTAGGATATTAATAAAGCACTTAAAAGACTTATGAGAGCACTACATTCAGTAGGTTGATTGCTGAGATTGCTAAAAGCTGTCAAGATGTGGGCTCATTGAAGAATGCTAGTGAACACCTTCATTCTCACCAGCCTGTTGTGTCATTACATCACATAAAGTAAAGGGCCCTTATCCACGCCTTTAGGCATGTTGGGCATATAGGGTTAGACCTATATTTTATAGACAATCTGCACTTGGTGGGTGATGTGGACAGCATCATGCCAGCCGCCTTTACTTCCCAGGACTACACCTGGTATCCACTAAAGGCTGGATACCATCGGAATCAGATGAGAAAACCGAACCCATGATCTTCTGATCCGCAGGCAAGCGTCTAGCCTCTACACCATGGCGTCTCCCCATTACGTCAGATAGGGCTTACAAACTATTCCTCAACTCCTTCTATCCTGTTGATATCAGCAGTTGTCCAGATATTTCTCTTATTTCTGTACCTTTTTTGGATTTATTCCCTTTAATGTTAGTCAGTTTCCTCACGCATTTTGTTTAATGCACATAATTTTTATCTCATGTCTTTAGTATGAACATCATGTAAAGATGCAATTTATAATTAAAATATCTTGAAAGAAACTATCCCATAAAGAGAACTGATTGCCACATCAGAAAAGGCACTCTGCCTTCTGTGGGTGCATCATGACAAGAAGGAAAGTAAAGTGAAAACATGGAAGTAGTAGGAGAGGCAGACCAAGGGAGAAGATGTTGGTCATTTCACATCATAGGCAGGTTTAAAGGATAGAAACAAAATAAAAAAGAGGAAAAAAAAAAGAGAAAAGTAAAAGCAATAGTTATTTTAGTTATTAGTCCTAAAGAAATCACTTCCTTCTCCCCTTTTTTCACTCCCTTACCCCCCCCCCCCTTTTTTTTTTAAACTGACCATGCCTCCCAGCTTGACCCAGCCTAAACATTGGTAGCTGAAAATGTCCTGGGAAGTAAAGGCAATCAGCAAGATTTTGGCCACATCGCACACTCAGTGCCGATTGGTCAATAAAAGTGTGATTCTAGCATCAAAAGGATCCTTAATAGTTTTCTGTTTTTTTTAAATTTAATAATTAGGAGTCATTGTGGCATAGTGGCTATAGCTCTCTGCTTGCCTGCAGGGTGTTTGGTCATGTGTTGAAAAACCCACTGACATATGGTATTTCTTGAAACTGATAGGGCTTCCTGGTTGATCCAGCCTAACATAGGTACCAGGAAATGCTGCGGGAAATAAAGTGGATAGTGTTATATTGACCATACTACCCAACTAGTTTATAAAATAAAAAGGCTAGTAATATTAAGGCTAGTACCAGATATCACAATAACTGTTGCTGTTGGGCAAGGTGTTAAAAAATCAACTCTTTGCATATTGGGCATTCCTTTAACTTTTTTGCTATTGTTTCCATCACAATCAAATCAACTCTTTGCATATTGGGCATTCCCAGCTCCTTATTATGTTATCACAATCAACTCTTTGCATATTGGGCATTCCCAGCTCCTTATTATGTTATCACAATCAACTCTTTGCATCACAATCACAATCAACTCTTTGCATATTGGGCATTCCCAGCTCCTTATTATGTTATCACAATCAACTCTTTGCATGTTGGGCATTCCCAGCTTCTTATTATGTTATCACAATCAACTCTTTGCATATTGGGCATTCCCAGCTTCTTATTATGTTATCACAATCAACTCTTTGCATGTTGGGCATTCCTAGCTTCTTATCTGTACGTACTCGCAGGGCTTGTTTTACAGTGTTATGCAGTGTTTGATGAGACAAGCCGAGCGTGCGGGACTGGATTCCATACATAATATCAAGGTGACTGCACAGGATCAAATGGAATGGAGAAATGTACTGTGAGTTCTATGTGACATTTAATGGCACAACAAGACAGTGAATGAAAAATACAAAGGTATACAGTACCAGTACATTTTTGGGCATCATTCTTTTTCCAGTGCTGCTGTAACGGACACACTGTGAAAAGTACTAGAATTTTTAAAGACACTTTGTGCTGAATACCGACACCTTTTCTTTATATAGTTAAAAAGAGCCCAGCTAAACCACACTGTTATTAAAAATGTATCATTATTCTACAGTATTGGAGCCGGGGAGCTGTTTGAGAGGGTTATTGATGATGATTACATCCTCACTGAGAATGATTGCATCCATTTTGTGCGTCAAATCTGTGAGGGTCTGGCCCACATGCATAGCAAAAGCATCCTTCACCTGGACCTCAAGCCTGAAAACATTCTTTGTGTAGAAGAAAATTCTAACAGGTAAAGTTATAAGATAAGATATATCATTGTCTAGTGCATTGCTCAATTGACTTTTGTAATAATTTTAAGCATGATGTGCTGTCTTTTTCTGTGTGAACAGAAAAACATGAAACAAATTATTGTTTTTATAACGATAAAAAAAATTTTTTTTTTTAAAACTATTTTACTAAGAAGTTCATCACCATGACCAAACTATGTATGGAAGACACTTATAATATAGTGACATATAATAACATCTAATTTAAAGACTAATGATGCTCTGTCCTCACTTCTTTTCAACTTGGCCCTGGAGAAAATTATAAAGAAATTTAAACAAGAGTGTACTACAGAAAAAGCTACAAGCATACTTGGCTATGCAGATGATGCTGATATCGTTAAAGAAAATGAACTAGAGACTGTAAAAACACTGACTCTTAAAAGAAGCAGCTCACAAAATGAGACTAGTTATCAATCATGATAAGACAGAATACATGATAAAAACAACCCAAGAAAAGGATCTAAACTCCTGCCACATACAAGTCGATAATATCAAAATCAAACGAACTGAAACAGATAAGTATTTGGGTGCACACTTCAACTGCTCCTACATGCTGAGAGAAGAAATACAATCTAGAATGCAACCTTGAAATTAAGTATACTATGCCCTTCAACATTTGCTAAAGTGTAAGTGTCTGTCTCAATACACCAAGATCAAAATATATAAAACATTAATAAGACCAGTCATTTTATATGGCTGTGAAACTTGGAGCACAACTAAAAGAGAGGAAGCCTTGTTACAAGTTTTCAAAAACAGAGTGTTGTGATGAATCTTTGGATCTATCAAAGATGCAAACAGCAGGGGATGGAGAGTGAGAAGCAACAATTAAATTCATAATCTGTTTAAAAAACCATTGAGAGAATGTCAGATGACAGAGAGGTAAAAACCGTATACACAAGGGAGCTGAATGGTCATAGACCACGAGGCCGACTAAAAAGACTATGCAGAGATAATGTCCAGATAGACCTACAAAACACAGAAGGCCAACCAGAGAGATAAATGGAGGCGGTGATATCTTGCAGCAATGAACCTCAAGGACTGGCAATTCTGAAGAAGAAGAAGAAGAATATTTACTAAATTATTCCTTTTCCCCCTTTATCTTCTTCATCCATATTGTTGACATTGAAGACATTCTATATCAAGGCTATTCAAATGGTGGCCCACGGTAGCCTAGCAAATGAGCCCGGATCATTGCCATATCTTGTATTATTGATCTTTCTGTGCTGGGGATGAGGTCTCTGGCCTGTGAGGATCCCAATTTTTTAAAATATGGTCCCTGAGCAAACTTTGTTGAACAGCCTTGTTTTACCTCGACACAGAATGGCAGTAGCCATTGCTACTCATCAAGTAATGGATCACAAACTGTTCCTTCTCCATAACACACAATGGCTAAAATGGGAATCGATAGTAATCCTTATTGTTTTTTATCATTGACTACATGAGCTGCTAGACAAGAAAATTTGTATGGGATTCTTACCTTGTAATAGGAAATAATATATTCATACATGATACATTGCTACTAACATAAATATTTCTAAATGTACCTTTATCTAAAATGGTAGCACTGGAAATAATTTTTGTCAGGAAAATAATATGCTCTTTTGTTTGCTTCTAGGATAAAGATAATTGACTTTGGTTTGGCTCGGTTCTACACACCTGGACAAGGCACCAAAGTGCTATTTGGCACACCAGAATTCATTGCTCCTGAAGTTATCAATTATGATGAAATCAGTTTTGCCACAGACATGTGGAGCTTGGGTGTTATTTGTTATGTGCTGTAAGTTTTCTGATTGTCAGATAACAGTTACATCTTTGTCTCTGATTATAGTAGAGAGCCTGAAGCTGTGAAAGTACAGGGTTAGCTCATCAACCTGGCACCCTTGTAGTACTTGGTTGTTTCCTTTAAGATGAAATTGTTTTGTTGCAGACAATTTGATAGCCGAATTTAGCCAGTTTCATTAAAATTGGCACGTCATGTTCTAGGGAATTAAATGTATCATCCCCATCTGGGTTCCAGGGCCCTATTGTGTGTAATTATGGGGAGGGGGGGGGGGGGGGGGGGAAATATACCCATTGCCTCCTAACAAGCATTTCAAAAGAGTCGACTTATTAGGGATGTTTTTTTTAGAAGCCGCTGAAGTGCATCTGTCTGAGAGACGAGGAACCAACAGTTACCATAAAAATGTACGCGCAATACTTAAGTTCTAAAACAAGATCAAAGTCCAGAAGTGGGCGAACAACCAGAACTTTCTGTTGGAGTTTACAGCTACTGAAGATGAAGGAGAAAAAAGAAGAAGATTAGTTTATGCAGTCAATAAGTAAGTCACAAATGGTTATGGGAGGGCAGAAAAATTTTGTTGGTGGTTTCTAAAGGTGTCATTAAGTGACAGCAACATCAAACATTATGTCCCCAAACATTAGGTGGCGGATGTGCATTCCCAACACAGGAACAAAATGGTGACTGTAATTATGGAGTGCACCCTCAAAGAACAACAGGCTTCTGTGCATATTTTTTGGGCAAAAGGGCTGCCTGCAAAAGACATTCATTAGGAAATGCTTCAGATTTATGCTGACAAATGTTTATCCTGTAAAGCGGTGCATAGCTGGGTCAAAACATGTTTTTAAGGAAGAAAACGTCCAGGCTTGCTGACTAGAGGAGTACTACTCCTTCATGACAATACCAGACCACATACGCCTCGGTTAACTCAGGAGAAAATTAACCATTTAGGATTGGAACTTCTGGAACATCCACTTTACAGCCCTGACTTAGCCCCTAGTGTTTTCCACTTTTTTGGTCCACTAAAAACCCACCTTAGCAGGAGAGATTTCGCAACAGTTGAATGTAAAGTGAAAATTTGGTTTAGAAAACAGAGCTCACAGTTCTATACAGCAGGTTTGGGAGGACTGATAAAATGATGGGACGAGTGCATCAGTGTTGGTGGAAATTATGTTGGGAAATAAAGATACAGTGTGTGTGAAAAAATCAATAGTTTTCAAGTCGTTATCCTCTTTAGTTTTTTTTAACAAACATTTGTCACTACTATTGACTTCCTCTAATATCACTGGTATTTTTTATGATCTTCTGTTTCTGTATGTCCCCATGCAGTTTGTCTGGGCTGTCACCATTCCTGGGTGACAATGATACTGAGACCCTGGCCAGTGTTACAACTGGGGAGTATGACTTTGATGATGAAGCCTTTGATGAGATCTCTGATGTGGCGAAAGACTTTATATCCAAACTTCTGGTTAAGAAAAAGGAGTAAGTATTACTTGGTTAGTCAACTAATCAGTTAGTTACAGTTCCATCGTCATAGTAAATGGGTCGCTCCATCGCTCCATTGTTGTGCCAGTAAAAACCACACAAAATATCCATTATCTCCCTTTAGAACAGAATTGGCACGGATGCAGTCTTAGCAATCCAACAGCATACACTTGCATTAAATGCATAAGCTAGCAGTCATAAGTGCCAGCACAAACAGTTCCAGGATAGAAATGCAGTTCCTCATTGATGTAGCAGCAGTTAAAACAGATCAGTGGTTGCACAGGCAATTAATCGCATAAGGCACCACAAGTTCTCTGGTAACGGACCACTTGTCAATTTCTGAATCTGCAGTTTGCAACATACCACGCTGGGCACAGTTAAAAAATATCTGCAGCTCACAGTGTCACACCATGCACTCAGCTCAGTGGCTGGAGCTATATCCTTTCAGAATAAGTATGGAGGAAAATGCAACAGCAAACTGTTACAGGTGTGTGTGCATGCGTATGTGTGTGCATGCGTATGTGTGTGTGCATGTGTGCGCATGCATGTGCATGTGTGTTTACCTGCGTATGTGTGTGTGTGCATGTTTTACAATGCAGGTTACTGAGTAATCTATGGTGCAGTGTGAGGGGTTTATCCAGTATGTTTCCTTTAAAGTGGGAGTCGCCTGCGGATTGAAGGTCATGGGTTTGCTCACTGGCAGAGCCGGACTTTTTTCAAAAATAACCTTGGCTCCCAGGTTGACCCAGCCTTGAGTGGGTACTAGGAGCAGTACTGGGAAGTAAAGGTGGCTGGCGTGATGCTGACCACATCACACATCTTGTGCCGATTAGTCTATAAAATATAAAGGTCTAGCTCTATTTGCCCTATATGCCTAAAGGCGTGGAAAAGGGTCCTTTACTTCCTTTGAAGTTGGTGTGCATTTGCAGCTGAGAGTGAGGAACCAACAGTCGACATACAGATTAGCCATATTTGTAAAACATTTCTGCACACAAAACTCAAGTTCTGGAACAAGACCAAAAGTCAGAAGTGGACAAACAACCAGAACTTTCAACTGGAGTTTACAGCTAGAATGTTAGAAGAAGCAAAAGAAAAGAAAAATAGAAGAGAGGTAATGTGTAAATAAAACCATATCTAAGTACATAGGTTACCCCCCCCTTTTACATTTTATTTATACAAATACCCCCTCCCCCACCCCCCATTTCCCCCCTCCTCCCTGCCCCCAAACAATTTTCTCTGCCATTGCTCTTTAAACAAAAATTGTTTTTGAAGTCTGCAAGATAAAACATTTATGTTTCCACAAAGTGTTCCCAAGCTGTACCAGTCTCCCATAATAATCCACCTAAAAATAGCAACTATTAAAACATCCCAAGGAGTTGCATTTTTCTTTCTTTCAACATCACCTTCTAGTTTGCTTGAGATTAAATATTACCCACATCACATATGACTTCCTCAGAAAACGCATGTTAACCGAACAGTGTTTAGCCCACCCTTGGCTGAGCCAGGATGAAGTAGATGGCATCCATGGAAAACGACTCAACACAGAGAGGCTGAAGAAATTTAAGAAGGCTAATGTGTCACTGTCAGTGATAGAATGCTACAATTAATAGAACACTATCGATGATAGAATGCAATAAATAATAGAACAGTGTCAGCGATAGAATGCTACAAATAATATAATACTACCAATGATAGAACGCTACAATAATAAAACACTACCAGTTATAGAACAGTACAAATAATAGGACAGGAGCAATGATAGAATGCTACAAATTACATAACATTAGCAATGATAGAATGCTACAAATAATAAAACACTAGCAGTGGGAGAATGATACAAATAATAAGACACCACCAATGATAGAATGCCACAATTAACACAACACTACCGATGATAGAATGCTAAAAATAATAGAATGCTGCAAATAAGAGAACACCACCAGTTATAGAATGCTGCAAATAAGAGAACACCACCAGTTATAGAATGCTACAAATAAGAGAACACCACCAGTGATAGAATGCTACAAATAAGAGAACACCACCAGTGATAGAATGCTACAAATAAGAGAACACTAGCAATGGTAGAATGCTACGAATAATAGAACATCACCAGTGATAGAATGCCACAAATATTAGAACACTACCAAAGATAACGAAATGACAAGGAGACAAAACAACAACTACAGAATGCTACTAAAGATAAAATAGGGTTATAGTAATGAAGTTGGGCCCAGATAGACATTCATTTGTGTGTCCCAACCTTTGAGACGTGTTAGTCTAAGTGGCAGATGTGTCAGGTTGTATTGTGTGATGGTCTCACAGGTGACCACGCATGCTCTATATTACAGGATGTGAGCATTTACAACTATCCCTAACCCCCCACTCCCCCCCCCTCCCTCCCTCCCCACGACCTCAGCCTAGGTCCCACGAAAGAATGTATTCTATGCCATATGATTTCAGACTTCTTAACATTTTGCAGTGGCCATCAAAATACTGTGTTGCTCCAGAAAAACAACAGTACCCTCCTTGTCACCAGCCAACAGTGACAGCTGAAATAAACTCATGTCCTACTTAAAATACAAGATGACTATCACATACACCTCTGCCGGTGACCACCCACACCAAACGCTACATGGTATGATATATACAACTCTCAGACCATACAAAACAAAACTGCCTGACACCCCTGTGACAGACAGCGGGCGTGTGAAAGGTCAAAAAGGATGAATGAACTCCAAGTCAGGATGTGATGGGCCTGGGTTAATGACTAGTTCCTAAAACAGTACTAATGATGGAACACTAGCAATGAGATGAGACAAATCTGCAATAAGACAATGCAAGCAATGAAAGAACACTGAGACTGATAGAACAACACCAGTGATAAAAGACTCCCAGTGCTTTCTTCTTCTTCTTCTTCTTCTTCTTCGATCCTTCTGTCAGAAAACTTATATCAGGAAAGCTATCGTGCAATCCATATCCTCTCGTGTACCATACAGTTTTGTCTTCAGTGTGGTTGGAACAGGCCAAATTGCGTCTCTGTTGTCAGCATACAGTTGACAGTGTTGGAGCACATGCTCAGCATTTTCGGGTGCCACGCTGCAGGGACACATCTCCGTATTTCCTACACAGAAAAATTTGAACATATGTTGACGAAATCTGTTGTGCCCTGTCCTTAGTCTGAATATAATACACTGTCCCTCTCTAGTGAGTCTTGGGGAGAAAATCTGGTGTGGGTATCCAGCCACCTTTCTTGGATACTAGTTTGTATTAGTGTTTTCATCTCTTGGTGAGTTAAGTCGCTATTTGGTCGTACCATGTCACTGCCGCTTCTGGCCAATCTGTCCACTATTTCATTGCCTTCCAAGCCACAGTGACCTGGAATCCACTGCAGTACAGATTGTTCTACTGAAGAGCCTAAGCAAATCAGCTGTTGCGTCAAGTCTACAAACTGAGTGTCTTTTGGGTTAACAATTGCTTGTAGAACTGACATAGCATCAGTCAGAAAGACCACTCTGCTATATTTGCTGTGCTGTTGTTTATTCAGGAAAGAACATGCCGCTAGAAGTGCTTCTGCCTCTGCTCTGTAATTGGAGGAATATGAACCTGTTGGTACAGCGTGGTTGATTTTTACACCATTTGGGCATTCTATGTATATTCCTCCTCCTCCGTCTCTTACTGCTCTCTTGGCTGAACCATCTGTATACACTCGAATCCAACTCTGGTGTGGATAAAGTCTATTGATCTCTCCTTCTGTAGTTGATTTCATATCAGTGCTGCTCATTGATGATTTGGAGGAGACCCCTGTTACAGTCGTTCTGACTGTTGGTAGGCTATCCCTAAGCCAAGCAGGGCAGTCGTTGTAAGGTTTAAGTGGAATATTTGGTATTATGGGAGGGATACCAAAGACAGAACAGTATAAATGTTAGAATACTACTAATGATATAACACGACTAATGATAGTACACTAATGATAGTACACTACCAATCATAGAACACTACTAATAATAGAGTACCACTAATGAAAGGAGACTACCTGTGTAGGTCCTCTATAATTGTAGAATACAACACTTGATGCGACACTGTTTATTAAGTACACTACTCTGGACATTTTGTTTATTCTTTATAAAAGTTTTGAAGCTACGTTATTTAAACTTTTTAATGTGTTTGTGTTTATGAAGTATTAAAATGTAATGAACTGAAACTATTTTGTTGCATCTCAAAAATGCAGAAAACTGGCAATGCTGTGAAGGCTGTTAGTCGTCTGATGAAGTCCAACAGTCTCACTGGCTTTGGCATTAACCTCCAACACAACAACAACCTAAAAGATGCAACTCCCTCCGACATAACTGCACCTGAGTCTGCACTTCGGAAGACTGAAGTTTCAGACAATGAGGATGATGATTACGATGACAGCCACAGTGAGTTTAATTCTACAGAAAATGACATCACTTCAGAAATGTCTCTGAATTTACATTCAATCGACAACAGCTTTCAGAGTGTAGATGAAAATGGGTCATCTGCGAATATTGAAAGCAACTTCAATAAAACAAGTATCTTGTGTGACATTGAAGGGGAAAATGGAGTGAGTTCAAAAACAGTGGAAACTAGTGCTGAATTTGTGTCTGAAGTCATTCCTAGAAGGCAAAGGGAAGCCACTTCAAAAGCTGATGAAACCAAACCTTGGATTTCAAGTAGAAGTCTTCAGGGTGCTTCTGATAGAGTGAAAGACCTTAATGAAGATTTTGTGAAAACTGAAGCATATTCAGAATCTTCAACACCCAGAGAGTCAAATAATTCTCCACCAACCTCTTCACTTACTGCAATAGAAAAGAAGTCTGAAGAGTCAGTAAAAGGTAGTAGGATTAGTCTGCAGAGCAGCAGCAGAAGAACTGAAGTTAATCAGGCTTCACGATTTTCTGATGACAAGAATCTTCTACAACCACCTGTTTTTACAAAACAAATGATTAGGTGTAAAACATATACTGGAGACGTTGCTCGTTTTGATGTGAGAATTTCAGGTGAACCCCTTCCTCATGTGACTTGGTTTTTTGAGGATGAAGAAATCATCTCAGACACTAGACATGTGTTGTCCTTAAATGAAAACACCAGATCTTTCTCACTGATTATCCGTAACGTTGAAGAAGATGACGAAGGCGAGTATACATGTAAAGCTGTAAACTCACTCGGGGAAAGCTCATGTAGTGCAGAGCTTGTTGTGCTTGTATTTTGAGCTGTCCTAAACTCAGCAGATAATAAAGTAAAGTAATGAGAACAGGGCTGACTGCAGTCAAAGTAATACCTAGAAATTCATTCAGTGAACTGTGGCTTGAAAGCTCAACGAAATTGGGAAGCAGAACAATGTGCACAAAACACACAGATCAGTGATTCAGCCTGGGCCTTTCTACACATGGACTAACTAACTACACAACAGTTACAGAGGGGAAAGTACTCCAACCACCAGCGCCCATCAAAGGAGTCACGTAAGAAAAAAATAGGTGATGTGGAATGAATAAAATAAAATTAATTAAAGGAAGGCTAGAATAATAGTCATAAAAGTAAAAGTTTTATAATAATATATTTTCGAGAAAGGCCCCACTCAAAACGGTAATTTGTGTGTTTCGTGCTCGTTATTCTGCTTCCCTATTTCGTTAGCTTTTTAGCCACAGTTTACTGGATTAATATTTTAAAGTAAATTAAGAAAAACACTCTTTTCACACAAATTGTGCATCGGCGGGCATTTGAGGTTAGACTTATATTTCTAGAGACCAGTCAGCTCTTACTGGTCAATGAGATTAACCTCACACTGGCCATACCTTTTACTTCCTAGAACTTTACCTAGCAGCCATTAGCCTAGGTCGACCTGGAAGCCATGGTCATTTTTGTTAAATCATCTGATTCGATGCAGATTCAAACCCAAGATCTTCACACCCAGCAGGAGAGCATATTGATCACCATGGCTCCTCGGTATGTACAGTGAAACAGATAAGAGAATACATACATTTCTGTGGTAACATTTATGGTTAAATTTATAAATGAACTCATAAAATGCAACTTAAAAAAAAAAAAAAAAAAAAAAGAAAGTTATAACTACTGTATGAAACATGATTTTGGCGTTCAAAATCGTTGTATTCTGATAAGTAAAACTGCTCAAATTGCACATTAGAATACCTTAAGGTTCAACCAGTCAAATGAAAGTTTTTTTTGCATCTAGGTCATTAGTAGTTTTTAGAGGTACAGGATTTCCAGTTAACTAATAAAAATGTGCCATTTGATAACTGCTTTTATTTTTAAACTTTTAATTTCAGACATGAGATAATTTTATTTCATTCGCAGTTTCAGTGAAAAACATGTGCCACTTCCACAATAAAGGTTGGTTTCAGTGTTTCCACTGCCTTCTTTGGTAAATTAGAGGATGAGGAATGCTGCAAGAATGGTCTTTACTTCACAATGAGTTTGTGTAAATAACTAACAGTCTGAGGATTTTGGGTACAGTGCATGGACGTGATGCTAAGAATTCGAGAGTCGGAAGTAAAGATTGGCACAGCCAGGCATGAGAGGCTCACTAGATGTATGAAAAGTCTTGTCCACCGGCATAGAACTGGCACTATTACCCTTTGAAGGTTGATGTGTCTGTTGACTGGAGAATCTGTGCACCTATAGACATATCTGGAGTGACATGGGGATAACTGAGCTCATGACTCAAATAGCTAACATTCTGAGGTCTTGAAATACTTATTTTTTTTTTTTAACATAAACAAATTTAAGAAAAAACGTAAATAAATTTGGCAGGTAATATTTGTCACATAATACTGATGTGATCTTCATTATATGTCTTCAAATTACACCAATCCTGAGTAAAGGGCAGTAACTCTTGATTAACTGTATTTGATCAGAACGTAAATTTTTCGGTTCTAGGTATTTGTGCTTCATTTTTCTTTTCAAAATCGCAAAAATTGTATACTTTACAGTAACATTCCTTGAGGGGTGATGAAATAAAGTAATAGAGTATATGAGAGACTGATTTAAAGTAACTACTGGGATAGCATGGATTAATGTAATAGGAATAGTGGGACCACACAAATTAAATTATTGCAAGGAATAGAGGTATCAAACAACGTGTGATTAGTTGCTAGATGCTTAAAGAATCAGTCAAGAGAACCATCGTCATCATCATGTTGCAGGTCCTTTACAGAATGTCACTGTTATCATAGTCTGCCTGAAAGACACTCAGTTGCTCACCAGCTTTTCCGCCTCATGCACTTCAATACCTCAATTGTGACTTATATCCTGTTGCCATCTTTGTGCTGGTCACTTGGGTGCTTGTTATGGCCAGAATATTTTACTTTCCAAGATGGTGATGTTTATTAGCCAATCTTCCTTAATATCAGATCTTTTAGGATGTCAGTATTTCTTGTCTTTTAAGTGAATAGGGATTAGAGAGGATTATCATCACAGCATTCTAGACAAATCCATAGGTGCTCTGATCTCCTCCTCAGGAGCTCATTAAGTATAAAGGGCCTGTTCTGTGCTGACGAATCAAACATCTTGTCCTCTCAGTTACATGTTCATTTCTTGCAGCTCCAGGTTGCATCCCCCTGTCCATCAGCCTAGATTGGGATAGGAAGTTATGCTTTGTGCCGTGTTAGTCTTTGCTGTAAGTGTGCACATGGCATTGAAAACATCACATCTGTCCAGTACTAGACCAGCCATCGCAGCCACAAGGTCTTTTCTTCTAAGTCCACTGTATTTTGGGAATATTTCTATAGGGTATTAGCTCAAAAGCCCCTATTTTCTTCTTTAAGGACTGCGAGATAGTCCACGAGTAACATTCATATGTTGATGCAGGGATGATGCATATCCTTAAAGACTTCTGGTCCATAATGGAGGACTAGGCATGGCAGAATGTTTAGCTTTGAAATGAGTTTTGTTCCTGACAGCCCTCTGCTAATGCAGTTTCCACATATGGACGGAAGTCTACGGTATCGTTGTCTGAGCTACTGAGTGCTTGTTGCAGACCTGTGAGCTCTTTGTTTTTTCAGGCGGAATGCCTTTCATTTGTACAGCGGTTGTGTCATGGTATTCAAAAAGGGACATTTCATTTGATTTTAACTGGTACAGAAAAGTAGCAAGTATAGGGGGAAAAAAAAAGGGGGGGGGGTGGCCTGATTGCAGTGAAGTTGAAACTTGAACTGAGACATATCCTCAAAATTTTGACTTTGATTTCCTTGCTGGTGCTTAACCAGTCTTTTAATGCTGTTGGAAGATATCAAGGATAAAAACAAAATCTTACATTGTTTATTTATTGCCTGGAATATTTTACTGTATCTCTGATAAGCAAAGATGATAGCAATGTACATGAGCAGTCTTGATAAACATGGACGGTTGTGATCAGTCCCATGTTATACCAACAGAAAGATGCACTTCTTATTCTAAAGACCTTTGTAGTAACATTCTGTTGTTACTGTATAAGAAATTACATCAGCATATAGTCAAACAAATTCACCTCTTGTCTTTTGAAAACTGTAAATGTAAAGTCGGGATATGTGAACCAGCGACATTGCACACAGTTATAAACCATAAGTGCTCTGCAATCAGTACAGACAGCTGATAAGAAACTGTCCGCCTGTGTCGAGTCTGCACACAACTCTTTAGCTACGTTCGTCTATTCACCCCAGAGTGTTAACTCTGGTACCCATTACCTAGAGGCTGGGTGAACCCCGGGAACCGCCCACTTTCGAACACTGGCCGTGGGCTGCAGCAAGTCGCAGCTGGCTTTGAAAGCGAGTCTCCTATCAACTGTGCTAGCGCCACTTCTTTTTTTTTTCTTTTAAACTGTGTTTGTGTTTAATCAGAGTGTTTATTCACATTTTATTTTGCATAGCTGCATTTATCCGTTCCTAGTAACTGTTCTCATTTTTTAAGAGGAAGATTTCTTTCTTGTGTTTTTCAGTGTACAGTCTTTCCTGCATGATGTATGTATTTAATTTTAGAACGTTTGTAAATAATTTGATGTATTATTTATTTTTAAGACCTTCATTTTTACCAAATGATAAATCTATCAAGTGGGTGCACTTTTTTCTTTTTAAATGAATGACAATTTCTGCAGACATGTTTGTCTGGTGTACTCCAAAAGTTTTTGGTATTTGTATTAAATGCGATTTTAATGTACAGATGTTTATAAGATAAATGAGATGACAGTATGATGTATGATGAATGTATCTTTTCATGATGTATTATTATTTTGTCTTTGCAACTAAAACTAGTTGTATCTTTGCAACTATAGGCAAATTTAAAAGATATGATGTATCATATGGCTGTACAATGTTTGATAAAACGATTATATGACTGTAGGATATTTGATAAATAAAAGAAACACATTTGTCCTGATTGTATTATTGTATATCTTTTTCTAAAGTTCAGGAGGTGCAAGAATGATGTATTATTAATTTACTTGTATATTTGGTAAATGAAATAAATACATATGTGATGTATAGTATTGTTGAACAAAGTTAAAAAGAAAAAAAAACATGAAAAAAACACACCCTTTTATTTCATGCTAGACTCAGTGTTTAATGAACACTCAGCCATCTTTGGGTTATGTAGTCAACAAAAAGTGGGCCACTTTTACTTCTTATGATATTCCATGCTAAACATTTTTCAACTGGGTCGATCTGAGAGCAAACATTTCTTTTAGCCAAAATACACCAGGAGTGGATTGGAACTAAAGAGTTTCTGTTGGCAGGCAAACATCTTACCTAATACTACCACCATTCCCATCATTGCACATCATCCAGTTGATTTCTTTAGCCACAAGAATAGTGCATAATTACATGCAGTTAAATTCTGGACCTGTAAGAATACTGTATAATTAATGTCTTGTAGTCTTGTACATCTTTCAGTAAAAATTTTCTCAGAAAACGGCGAGTGGCCAGTCACCATAAAACTGTTGCTGCCTTGTGTGACTAATTGCTTGTGAAACTACTGATCTTTAATAACTGTTGCTGCCATTGACAGTGAACTGTATTTCTAGTGCCAGATTGTATGCCTGGGTGTGCTTTGCTGAGAATACAGTCTATCAGTTTTTTTTTCAGAAAGGAAAGTGAGGGACATTCTTTGTGGTTTTCAATAACACATAAATGGAGTAACTATGGAGTGACCTGTTTGCTATGAAGTTTGTACTGTCATTACATTACCTCAGTAAAATACTGGACATTCGAGAATAATATAATT